TCATCACCGCATTCAGGAGTGAGAAATTTTGCAACAAAAACAGAATTCAGCTCTTCAGAATTGACAACGTTGTATACTTGATTTAAACCTCTTTAGTCACCTCGGGTTAAATCAAGATAAAACCGAATATAAATGCAATATAATGCACAATCTGGATCGTCTCTCTCACAGAGCTTTTTTATTTGAAAATCTAAGCTAAACTAAGTACCACAAACATTGACAGGGTTTTAAAATTGATTTTCTTTAATAAAACTACTTTGTAAACAATGCAAATTAGATAAATCCTAATTACTATTTTTTGGAGCTTTTTAATAAAATGATAAATGAAAATATTAATTTGGATTTTAAGGAATTTAATGATCAGATGTTCTTTGGAAATGAACCAATGACTATCCTAGCTCGATTAATGATGTGGGAGTAAATCAATTGATAAGGATCGGTTTAGAGAAGTTATTCCTTTTAAATTGATGCTTAACTACAACACTAATTATTTGTTAAATTCACTTCAAGTATAATCTCTACACAATTAGCATAAAAATCATACTAACAATAAATCAACAAAGGCATCAACATATAATTAAATATATATTTATAAACCAAAGTACTCAAACTTAAAATTAACAATCCAAATCTCAACAATTCCAATCCAAACCAAGAATTACAACTAGCAATTCCAAGTTTTAAACTACACGACAGATTTCAAACCAAAAATCATCAATTAAATAGTCTAAACTAAGGATTAGAATTAAACTCCTTTTTGTAGCTCCCAAACTCAAGTCATTGGGTTCAGTCCAAAGAGCACTGGAAAAAGGATCAGTCACTCATGGTCTTGAACACAACCGTAACGAGCTCCAAGGATACCGCGGCCATTGAAGAATTCTGCAGAATGAAGTCGCGGCCCCTCTGGTTCTGATTCGGCTAAGAAAAGACTGTGATGCTGGCAGATGATAAAAGAAGACACAGGTGAGGTGAATGAACAGAGATGGTCGCGTTATGATGAAGATTGTGGAGAGGTCGATGGTTCAGGGGGGTGAATGTGTGGCGGCGTCAAGGTTGATGATGGAAGAAAAGTCTTCGGAGGTCCAATTCCCAGGTCTGCGTGGCGGCGTCCTCATATTGATGATGGAAGAAGAGTCTTTAGAGGTCCCAATAGAAGGCTTGTGTGGCGGCGTCCCTCCCTCTCCTTCTGCACGATGGCATCCCTTTTTTCTAACCCAATCAAATGACCTCCAAATTGCCATCTCCAAAACGGTGTGCACCGGTCCTTTATTCATTGATTTATCTTTTTTTTTCCCGTCTGTTCAGCTTCTAATTTCAATTTGTCCTCATTAATCTGAAAAATAATTTAACAATATGCAATATCATGGAGCCCCAAAATAATTATTTAAGAACAAATATAAAGATATGACAAAATTATCCTTTTTTTTTTGCTCTATTTTAATAAAATCATTCTTTAAATGAAATTAATCATAACGAATGGAAATTAACTTATTTTAGTTGATAAAAGCCCCCCAAAAGATATAAAACAATAACATAAAATAGAGGTTTATCAATACTCTTGCACATGTACTCCGATCCTGTCCAGCCAAGATTGCGAAAAATGTCTAGGGGTTGCTCTGCAAAATATCACGTCATGTTGTCTCGGAATGAAAGGAGGACAAGTCATTAATCCTAGCTGCAACTTGAGGTTTGAATCGTACCGATTTTATAATGACAGTAAAAGTATTGCTTCGGTTCCACCTGCGTATCCCCCAAATAATAGTGGTGTTTTGGAGCCACCTACCTATCCCCAAACTCCCAAAGTTTCAGGGAATACAGGTAATTAATTGAGGATCAAATCATTTGTGTCACGGAGATACGTGCCTACATATAATTTGATATTCTTAATTCCCTCTCAATTTTGTGCTTACAAATCTTCTTCATTTCTTGTCTATGGCATGCAAATACACACACATTTACTTTACGGGGGAAAAGATGACGACCACTCACAAACAATCATAATAGCACTGTCCGTCACTACTGCGGTCTCAATCATGCTTTTTTGTTTCGGCTTCTATTATTGGAAGATTAAGAAGAGCAAGACTTATAAGACATTCTGAAGAAAAATTGTACGTGTGCTGTTTTTTTTCCTTTTTAAAAAACAAAAACAACTCGGTCAACTGTGAGAAAAATCATATTATTGTATTGTACTTACCTTGAAATGTACTTATGTTTATAGTTGGAAGTGAAGGAACCATATTAGAGTCATTGCAGTTCAATTTGGCAACAATTGAAGCTGCAACATATAAGTTCTCGATTGAAAATAGAATAGGCAAAGGCGGATTTGGAGAAGTCTACATGGTAACTTGATTATGCGTTCAAACATATGGGTGTGTTTATATATTATGTTGCATGTATATCCCAACCCCTCATTATCTAGCTATATTATGATTTCAGGGCATTCTTCCCGACGGTAGCAAAATAGCAGCAAAGAGATTGTCAGAAAATTCTGGTCAGGGATTATTAGAATTCAAGAATGAGGTTCTACTAATTGCCAGACTTCAAGACAGAAACTTGGTGGCATTATTATGATTTTGCTTAAAAGATCAAGAGAAAATACTTATTTATGAATACGTTCCCAACAAGAGCCTCGATTACTTTTTATTTGGTCTGTCCCTTCTGACCAAGCTCATATTACCCTTTTTTAATTTTTTTTATTCATGTACGTGCTACCCATTTTTTCCCCCATTCATGTACATGCTATCCACTTTTTTTTCCCATTCATGTACATGCTATCCATTCTTTTCAATTTTTTTATTCATGTACGTGCTATCCATTCTTTTATTGCACTTTGAGGTGAACATATTTTTGTTGGTATAGTCACTAATTTGTTTTTAATTTAGACATAAATGTATATGACGTATCTGTCATTCATTTGCATACTCACAAAGTTATTTAATTATGCATTCAGGTTCACAAAAGTCAAGAGTGTTAAATTGGTTAGAGCGTTATAAAATTATAGAAGGAATTGCTCGAGGAATTCTTTATCTCCATGAACATTCACGTCTAAAAGTAATATATTAAGATCTCAAACCTAGTAATATTTTGCTAGATGATGAAATGAATCCAAAAATTTTGCCATGGCAAGAATGATTGGCATTAATGAAACTAGAGGAAACACAGATAGAATTGTTGTAACATTGTGAGTTTTTTCTCTCCCTTTCTCTCCCTTTCTAACTATCTCCCTACTTGTGCGCATGTGTGTATGTGTTTATTTGTATATTGCGTATGCACTTTACTACTGAATTTAAATATTGGTACAACATATAGCTCAAATTATCTGGCTCTAGGATTCCAACAAATATATTGACACATTTATATGTGATTTTATATATCTATTGTAGGGGCTGCATGTCTCCAGAATATATTAAGTTTGGACTATTTTTTGAGAAATTAGATGTTTCCAGCTTTGGAGTCATTGTTTTAGAAATTATAAGTGGAAAGAATATACATTCTCAATGTGAATCTCATGAATCTCAATATATTGACAGACTCTTAAGTGATGTAAGTATAGCAAACTTTTAATATTTCTCAAAGGATCATCTCAAACCTGTCATCATTGTCATTGTCATTATCATAAGCATCAACTAGCCATTGGAGCTTGTTAACAATATTCTATAATCAAATCAGTCGCAGAGCCCTGTTTTAAATGAATTATTTGCAAAATGACAGGCTTGGAAGCATTGGAGGGATGAAAGATTGATAGAGATATTGGATTCGAATTTGACAGAAGCTGGGTCACATGGTGAAATAATCAAATGCATCCATATCGGCTTGTTGTGTGTCCAGGGAAATCCAGGAGCAAAGCCTTCCATGAATAAAGTTGTTCAATATCTGAGTAATGATTCAATGCCATTGCCAATTCCTCAAGAACCAGCATTCTTCATCCACAGTCAAATGGAACCCGCAGCAACCAGTAGAGCAATGGAGGCTCTACTTGGCAACCACAATCAGTATTCCATTAATGAAATGTTGGAGGGTATAATATCTCCTCGCTGGATATATCGTAGGGGACTCCAACTTTTGTTTTTCTTTTCTCATTGCATAAGCATGGTTTTATTTTTGAAATATGTGTGTAGTAAGAATTTGTCTACTTCAGATTCAATTTTTGTTTTTTGCCCTTTTTTTTTCATCTGCCGTCCATTAAGACGCTCTATCTTTGTATCTCTGCAATACTTCAATCTTATATATACCAAACAGAGCATTGGTGTTTAAGAAAAAGAAGAAATGAAATCCTTGTCCTAGTGAGAATAAAATTCACTCAATGACACCTCATTCCAGAACATGATTCTTCTTACAAATCAATTGGTAAGCTCCATATTTTGCAATGCCCCAAAGAGGCATGCTTCTCTGGAAGTGGCAACTGAATTGAATCATTGCTGAGATATACATAAAACAATTGCAGCCGTGCACAAAGGCTTTGCATTTGGATTTCATATTGAATAAAAAACAACCCTGGGCGAATGGATGCACTTAATCACTTCATTATATGATCTGAATTCATAAATTATCCTTGAACCCAACTTCTCTAACAATTTTTCATCCCTCTGTCGATTACAAGCCTGTAACAATTAAGTAAAACTCACTGTTATAATCATCTCCCTTCCATTATTAATTAGCTTATATAACATGGTTCAAAATTAAAATAATCTTCTGCGTGCATCTGAGGCAGGATTCCCTTAAATATAAGGAGCAAGGGTTAAATTAGCTGCAGCGAGAAAATACAGATCTCCTTCGTTTGGTGGCTGTGGCGGAACTGAGATGTTATAAGAAACATCATACGTCATCTTAAATATAACAGAAATGGAAAATATAGTATTGCATAATACTAATATCATGATTACTATATATGTTGACTCTCCTCATTTTGGTGCATTAACATAAAAATACTTCTTCTCTAATTGACAGGGTACCAAATTGAGCATCGGTGGCCAAGCACAAGATGCAATAAAAGCCTTGTACTACCGAGGATAGAATTCACTTATAGACATTTCATTAATTGATTCTTTACTGTCGGTATTAAGCTCCATTTGGCCCTCCAGAAAGAATGCAGGTTCTTGTGGAAATGGCAATTGAATTGAATCATTGCTAAGATATGAAACAACTGTAGCCATAGAAGGCCTTGCTTCCGGATTTTCTTGAACACATAACAACCCGATTTGGATGCACTTGTCCACTTCATTCAACGATTCAGGTTCATTTAGACTTGAATCCAATACATCTAATATCTTTTCTTCCTTCCATTGATTCCAAGCCTGCACCAATTTAGTAAGCTTAGCTATTTTAATCACTGCCTTTTAATTATTAATCTCTCAAATTTAAGACAATTACCCATGAAATACTAGTGAGATAAACACATTATCATAATTAATTAACTTACATAGTTTAGGAGGCCATGAGATTGATCTTGAGAGCTTGTGATCTTCCTTCCACTGATCATTTCTAATACTATTACTCCAAAGCTAAAAACATCTGATTTTTCAGAATATTGTCCAAACATTGCATATTCCGGAGACATATAACCACTAAAAAAAACAAAATATCAATCATAGACTTTTTTCCAGTAGATAGTAAGCAGCATGCGTGGACATTTCAAGCGCAACACTTGTTAATTTTTTTTTAAAAGGAAGCTGTAGTGCTTTTTTTTTTAATGTTTCCTAAATAATACTGATTTGAAAAAAATAAGTGCTACAGTTGTAATATATGTAGTAGTAGAACTTTTATGTCAACTTAGGCCAACTTTTCTTTATGCAACCGTATCATGATAGCTGTAAAAAGTTTGAAGGAGAGATTCAGAACTTACTAGGTTCCAACAATGTTACTCGTACTTTCCTCAATTTCATGGATTCCAACCATCCTGGCCATGCCAAAATCTGAAATTTTTGGGTTCATTTCATTATCTAACAAAATATTGCTTGGCTTGAGATCACGATGTATAATCTTAACTCGAGCATAATCATGAAGGTAAAGAATTCCTCGAGCAACTCCTCCTATAATTTTACATCGTTCCTCCCAATTTAGTACTTTGATTTTTTGAGAACCTATACAAAAAGTTATCATTAATGACTAAACTCACAAATCAAATAAAGATAGTTGAAAATAAGTAATTGACTTGAGCATATTCATAAGATAGAGAAAGTTAAATAATTATTAACACGCATGTATATCAATTTCAATCAAGAATTAAAATGAGTTTAGAAGTGTCTAACCAAATAGAAAATAATCAAGACTTTTGTTGGGAACATATTCATAAATGAGAATTTTCTCTTGCCCTTCTATGCAAAATCCTAGCAAGGCCACCAAATTTCTATGCTGGAGTCTGGCTATTAATAAAACCTCGTTCTTAAATTCTTCTACTCCCTGGCCAGAACTTTTTGAAAGTCTTTTTACAGCTAGTTCTTGACCATTTGAAAGAATGCCCTGAAATCATGGTTAAATTAAATAGTAAAAACGGTACATATATTGAATTATATATTACAGTATTTCCATTGGCACTGCCTGCTTTCTCACCTTGTAAACTTGTCCAAATCCACCCTGACCTAAACAATTTTCCTGTGAAAACTTATTTGTCGCGGCTTCAATCGTAGCCAAACTGAATTGCAGAGGCTCTAAAGTGTTGCTTTCGCTTCCAACTAGACAAATAAACCTAAATATTAAAGTATACTAGAGGTATCACCACTCCTGTGAAGAGATAGAATGAAAATTACTTACAGTATTTTTGCATGAGAAAAGCCATACGTATCTTCTTTATTTGATTCTTCGACAAATAGAAGGAGAAACATAGAAGTATCACAGCACCAACAGGAGAAGCCACAGCTATCACAATAGTCCTTAATCTCCTTTTCCTTCTTACTGTATGAACATCAGATACTTCCACGTCTTAATGTCACTCATTATCACTTTCTCCCTAAATTACTTTTTTTGTCATAAATATAAGACTCATTTTATAGTATAATTTTCCTTATAAAATGGGTTTTATATTTAGGACTGGAGGGAGTATTAATCAGCACATTGAATCTTGAGCTAAAAGCCATAAGAGACTATATATCAACCTCCAAGCAAGTCAACTTTTGAGATTGTCAAGAAAATCTAATATGAAAGCGATTTTAAAAAATAATTCAGGGAAGCATGTTAGATTCTCTTCACACATGACTCCAAATTGACTTGAAGGGAGCGACTTTACAGATTCTCTTACACATGATTCCAAATTGATTTAAAGGACTTCCTTAAAGATCTCGATGCATCCTTGCTATGAGGTCAAAAAATACAAGTTAGTTAATTTAATAGAAGAGAACATTATCATTTAGTTAATTTAATAGAAGAGAACATTATCATTTTCAGATATAAAAAGCTTCATATATATGCCCCACCTATAAAGTTTCATCTTTCTCCCTTGATATTTTAAAATCTCAAATACATATTTTCCAGAATATGTGTTGTGCTCTGATTTTTGTTTTTTGTTTTCTTTTTTTGGTTGGGGTGGTAATTTATTATGCTCTTATATTGGTAGTTGAAAAAATAAAATATTATTAAAAAATATTTAAACTTCTCGAATACGTTTCGGGTCTTTATTATTGTATGAATAAAATAATAATAATATACTATTTAATTTCTAACTCGTACTTCCTTCAAAAATTGAAATTATTTCTTTTACGTGTTTGACCACATATGTCCTCAATCTATATATACATATCTTTCATATACAAAAAAAATCGATGAGAAACTAAACTATGAAATGGTCATGAGCATGAGACTTTAATTAACCTGGCTAGCTAGTTCACACAAAACCAGAATTTTACAGTTAAATGGGAGTATATGCCAAAATCAGCATCCATAATATTTTCATCAATAGATTTACTCTAATTTACATAGAAAACAGAAATCAGAAAAGCACATAATTAAGCTTACCATCTGAAGGAGTTGGAGGAGTTAATGGAGCCGGAGGAGGAGGCGGAGGCGGAGGGGGCAGCCTTACTGGCCGGAGAGGCGTAGAAGAATTAAAGAACATATACAGCTCATAGCGAGCGAAGCAACTTGGATATGCCACTCTTCCTCCGATCTTGCCCTCACAACACCATGGAAGGTTCCCGATCACACCACTCAGACACGTTCTGCAATCTCCCGGCGAAAGGTCCGGCGTGCACTGAACCATCACATACAGAGTTTGAATATCTACCACCACCGCTTTCGTCGCCGACTTCTTTTTCATCAAAGCAGGCTTCGCCGCTTCATCTGCCGTCAGGTTCATAACAGTCATCAATACGTTCATGAATCCTGCCTGGTTCGAGACATTGTTAGTGTTCAACATTTTGAGTTTAGGCTTTCTATCGACGGTGGAGAAGAAGTTGTGCTGAGAATAGCGAACCAAGCACGGGTCAAGCCAGTTTACAGGCCGCCTTCGAAAATCTGCAATAGTAAGCTAACTCTGCAGTTGACTCAACGACGCACTGGTGGCATGCGTCTTGGTTGACGTCGCCCCGGCACATGAAGAGGCCGTATATGGTCTCGCCACCGCCGTCAACGGTGGTGTTGTAGAAGTCGAGGTGGGCGGTTTCGTTGGAAGTTAAGGAAGAAAAGAGGGTGTTGAGGTTAAAGTCGAAGGTGCTATTGGCGGTGAAATTGTGGTGGGTGGAGCATTGAGGGTGAAGAGAATTACGACCTATGACCTGAGCAGAAGAAGAATGGAGGGAGCCGATGAAGAAGAGTAACAAAATTATGATGTTGAAAGGCATATTGTTAAGGTGTGTTGGTGGTATTATTTTAGACGAGGCGAATGCTTTATAGTTTTGAAGAGTTTGATTTATGACTGAGTGAATTCAATGACAAGTGAAGGGGGGAATTCAATTTAGGTGATCCTAATCCAAGTGATGGACATGAAATATGTACGGTTCCCATTAAAATTAAATAGGCCACATATTAAGATCATTTATTTTATATTCTTAACAGTTTAAAATTTTAATGTGTATAAGATTTAAAATAAAAATTATCTCTTAATTGTTAAAACCACTGTTTCGGGAAAAAAGATAATGATAAATTTAAACTTGCTTGGATCAATTAAATTTCTCTCATAAAATTTAGCCAAGGCTTATCATGCGGAGACCGTACTATGAAGGACTATCAATGGAGATAGTAGGAAGGAAGGCTACCTAAAGTCGCGCCACGAGATTGAGACTACGACTACGACAATCGTGTAAAACTGATAATTATATAGTTGAACTTTATATTCAACTATATAGCATTTAACTTATTTAAACCCTGAATATTTTCAGATCTTAATCATTATTAGTAATATTTTTCAAAATGTAATTTACAAAGCCCCTGCTCACATTCAAATGAATTATGAACTCCGATGTGCTCAGAGGTACTCTATTTATAATTGTTTTTGTTGATTTTCCATAAATAATTATTTAATATCCGCTCATAATATTGAAATAGTCTTATTAATATGTGTTCATTTTGATCTGGCAAGTTTTTCAAACATAGAACAATAATTTCCCAACCAACTTCATTAATTAAAGCGCGCATAGAGCGCAGTTGACCTCAAAAATCTTTTGAGAATGCTCCAAAGCCAGTCCAGCTTGACCCGCAAGTGATCAAATAAATCAAATAATACAGTTTGGAATTTCAGTCCGTCCTCATTTTTTTCATTTTGAGAAATTAAATAATATTGTTGTTTTCAATCACAGATAATGAGCAATAATTAATGGCGCATGCCAAGGTGTCATCCAAGAAGAACGCAAAGATTTCTTGTGATCATATTAGACAAGGTAATAGGTATGTCTTCCCCTTTGTGACAGCAAAGATGAACCGTGCTATTCATAATTTCGCATAAAAAGTAAATTTTTTTTATATTAACGATATTTGATATTGATTTAATGCTATCTAGTTTAGTTAAATATATGGAAATCACCCATTATCAATAAACATTTTCCATTAAATTAATTACATTGCGGCATTTAATAGAAATATACATACACACAGCACAGTTATCCTTTTCTTTTTCTTCGCCAACTTACACATTGATTAAACAGCTATATCTTTCTCTCCTCTTATTTATAAATCACTTCCAACATATTTCACGTAGACTAAGAAAAACCTTAAATTTCATTGATTCTCATTTAAAATTCAATAATTTTTTAACTTGATCCACATTTAATATACATTATGTATCATGTATTAAACAAAGTCAACATAATAATAAATGAAGAGTAAAATTAATATTGTATATCCATATAAAAATTTTTCTCAACACCATATAAATAGAATCCAAAAAATGGTTTTTTCTCTCTACTCTATAAATATAACTAGAAGAGTATTGGTTATAATAAGAGTAACTGTACGTGATATTATAAAGTAAATTTTATTTGAAAGATTATTATAAGTTAAAATCTAATCAAAGATATTTATTCTAAGTCAAATAATTTCGGACGCATCAGATAAACATTCCAAAAATAAAAAACCAATGACTCAGTCATAATTTTACTTAAGATGATCAAACACGTCTTGAAGATGGATTCAACGTTGGTGTTTGTACTGTCCCTCGACCCAGCAGCGTGTGCGATCGACTAAAATATATTGGCCAATATGAAAACGGATTATAATAGGCTTAGTCGAAAAGTTTTGAATTATTTTTATTGAAGATGTTGCCTTCATGATCGAAGGGAAAAAGGACGTCAATTACGAACAATTATTGTGACTGTGGTCCTACAAAATATATGGTACCTCCTCGGTGTCCTGGAGACTAGAACGCGTACGTGTTGGATCTATCGAGCCAGTTAGTCACGCATCAAATTATGATGAAGGGGAGCCTAGGCTCCACATAAAGGGAAAATGAATAGTTAAAAATATATCTAGAAAATTTATATATCATTCTCTATCATGGGATCCATTGATGTTCTAGGCCTTGCTTTCTTCGTGCTTGTCCCTGTTGATGCCAGCACTTACAGAAGGGGAGCAGCGTTAACAATGGTTTGCAGGGAGAAAGTATCTCAATCATTTGGGTGGCTTGGACGAGTGATCTTGGGATTTGGTTCAGAAGAAAAGCTCCCGACAATATATTGAATTAGCTTTAAGCCAATACGTTAGAATTTGTTATGCATCCCATGTTAACAAGTCTTGCAAATATAGTGTGGCTTATAATTTAACGGACTCCCTGCTAATTAACTTTCAACATCAGCTACCAAGATTAACTAACGTACAAATTAAAGTTGGGTCTGAAGGGAGAAGAGAGATGAAATATGGCTCATATAGTCCGTGATGAGCAAAATTGTCAATTGATAACATAACCGATGATACAAATAAAATAGTAAGAAAATCTTACGTTCATGGAACTATCTCAATTCTGAGTATATCTAAAGAACCAACTTCTCCCGAAAACCCACAAAAGTAATGGGGTTCTACTCCCACTTCCATTTCTCTCCCCCTCCAATTGAGTGTTACCAAACGAGGCATAAACGTCCTCTGCCTGGTTGACTGATGATGACGAATGCTGACGCAAGTCGACGCTTTGCTTTCTAAATTTTCCATGTGAATGGGAAGGCCCCATTAATTGAGAATGACTCTACTTCTAATTACCGATGGAGATATGGCCGGCGCGGAACGTCTCCTATTCTTTACCATCCTCTTATCATCCTCTTCTCTAATCGTAACCGTTTATTTCATCTACGGCCAAAAACACAACACACACTTTAACACAACTATGCGTTTTGCCTTCGGACGTGGGTTTTCTCTTTCACTCGCGAAGACGCACTTCGGCGCTTGGGGCTTTCACTTGACCCTGCCTTACCGCGGCGGAAAGCAGCTGAATCTGGCGACTTTCCGGTGGAGTCGATGAATGCCAACCATAGGTTAGTTACCTCATCTTTCACATGCAATATATGATATCAGGTTGAACTAGAAATGCTTCAAATCTCGTGAACCCACATGTTGCTCTTCTACAATTTTGATCCCTCACCGCCTCATATGGAGGATGCATTTATAATCTTATTTTTTAAATACCTTTCGAAAGATTCAGCCCAGGCGGAATTGTATTGACTTAAAGCTCTTCAACTCTTATTTTTTGAATACATTTTATAATCTTATTTTTTGAATACCTTTCGAATACATTTATTTCGAGTGGTGATTACTTTATTTACAGGCCAGATTTCTATTTGTAAATAGAAAAGGAAGTGATGAATATTCTACCATTGACAATTGAGATTCATTTGCTGATTTATGATAAGAACTCCCCTATTTAAGAAAATAGTTTAAAGAAATAAAGAAAATGCGAATTTCTTGTTGATGGATTGTCCATAGCTCGATTGACATGCTAAGTAGTTGTTTGCAATGATTAGGTAATGGAACTGAAGATTTTGAAAATAGAGGTGATTTATTCCCCCAAATTTGTTGTGTGTAATATGACAACAAAACTGTTACTCTGTCCATTGCCTGTGGTGTTGATTATTAATGGTGGATAGTGAGTTCTTTAGAAGATGGGCTTTTTTAAGGAAAAGAATAAAGAATTAGATAATTCTCAAAGCCAATTGTCTCATCAGGAGGTTTTTAAGCACCTAAAAGATATTGTCGCAATATTACTTATAAACTTGCAGGTGATGCAGAAGAATGAGCAAAAAAGACAGCATTGCAACAAAGTATGGAAAAAAAAAAAGAGGCAACATTATAACAAAACACGAACACCAAATTAATGAGCTAGCTTGACCAGAAAAGTTGAGCTTGGAAGAAGAAGTGCTAAAGTAGAGTTGACATGGGGACTTCATATCTTGGGATTTGTGTTGATATCTGAGCTTGTATCTGTAACATATTGCAACATAGTTATATGTAGAAATGTAAAGCAATTCTCATGTAATTGAATTTTTTTATTGAGAAAAATTATCTTGACCTTTCCGGTATATTTTCATGTGGTGGTATGATTTACCTTTTACAAATGCTTGACTAAATTGCAGTGCTTCAAGTGACTTCACATCATGGTCCATTTGAGCCTACAAGCAAAAATAAAATGACAATAACATAACATGTTTGAAATTTCAAATAAACTACTTGGAAACTAGAAATGTAACATTCTCACCATCATTAATGTTGTGAATGTGGTTTGGCTTAGTCCATGCGTCTTTGAGACTAATGAATCATGTTGCATTGGCATTGATGTATTTGAGATAGGTGGATGATGTTGCATTGATGCTAGAGTATTTGACATAGGAAGACCATACTGCGTAGGAGCTACTGTATTTGACATGGGAGGGCCATATTGCATAGGAATTGTTGCATTTAACAAAGAGGGGCCATATTGCATTGGTAGCAGTGCATTTGACATAGTAGGACCATATTGCATTGGCACCAGTGTATTTGACATAGGTGGAATATGTTGCACTGGGGTTGACAGGCTAACTACCCCTAATGTATTTTCAGTTTCCTGTAACAATATAAAAAAAAAGTATCATTAAAAAACATGATGTCATATTGAAATAGGACAGCAAAAAATATTTATACCTTTGAACATTGTGAAGGCCTATTAGTCGGTTTTTTTGAAGTTCTACTAGTTCTTCTTTTCTGATTAGGCTTCTCAACCCAACTTTTATCAATCTTTTTACGTTCCCTCTTCTTGAATCCAATTCCTTCACCCTCATTCTTACCATCATCATCAACAACAACACATTTACTACTAACATCATCTGACGAATGTTTAATAAGAAGTTCAGACACTTTCTTACTAAGTTCTAGAACCATTTGATGAACCATAGAGAATGCCTCTGGGCATTCAGATGCATCATTGGCTAATTTTATAAGCATTGGGCACAATTGCCTGTATCGATTTGAGCATTCTAGTTTAGGATCAACTTCAATTTCCTTTCCCTTAGAATCATACACCACACCACACCTTGCTTCTCTTGTCCACCTCTTTAAAATATATTTTTGTGGAAGTCGCTTGACATCTTGATCATACAATATTCTTAGTGCATGACAACATAATATTCCCCACTGTTCAAACTTTTTACAACTACAAGTAATGTTAGGCTCCTTGTCTTCTCTTGATGGCTCATATGTCAATCTCCACTCTCCATTTTTGTCAACCCTTGTAATCACATAATCAAACACAATAGCATCAGCCTCTTCATTCTTCTTTCTTTCTTTCTTCTCTTTAATACATGTAGCATCACGTAAGTCATACTCCTGTTGGAACAAGTTAAAAATTGGTGGAGTGTAGACTTGAGAAAGTTGTTGAAGCATAGATGAACTCTTCAAAATCAACCTTGGAAACTTCTGTCGTGAGTTAAAATCACTCTTCAATTCATTATACCGTTTTTCCACAACAACTTGTTCAAAAGTTTTAAAAAATTTATTGATATTCATATCAGGTTTTGTGCACTTTTTTATAAATGAATTAATGCTTTCACTGAGTTGTGTGCTTCTCATACCAAGAGTCTTCGAGTTTTTCATATGACATGCTGCCCACTTCTCTTTTAAATTATAAATCGACATCAACCATGTATTATCAACTGCATTGTGCTTTTCTAATAATGCTTTCCAAGATTCCTCAAACATTGTTTCTTCCTCACAATGATACATGCACCAATTAAACTTACTCAAGAAACGAGAGTTATCCTTCATTAAGTTCCCAAGATGTTTCACTGCATTTTTATTAATATGAAATGTACATAGACTATGCTTTACATTTGGCATTACCTCTTCTAATAATCGTGCCATTGTAGCATCTTGATCAGTAAATACAGTAAATGGCATTTTATTCTTATGTGCCTGTAAAAAGGTTTCAAAAAGCCATTTAAAAGACTCAATGGTCTCATCATATAATAAAGCTGCACCAAATATCACAACTTCTCTGTAATGATTAAAACCTGAGAAAATGGCAAGTGGTCTGTTTTCACGATTTGTTGAATATGTTGTATCAAATGAAATGACATCCCCAAAACAAACATAATCTATCAACATACATGCATCAGCCCAGAAAACATTCGTTATTTGTTCATGAGAATCCATCTGATAAGCATGAAAAAAAGAAGGATTTTCTGTTAATTGTTGTTGAAAATAACGAAGCAGACACCCAGCTTCACCATATTCCATTTCTCGTTGCCTTCTTGATCTTAAATAACTCTTTACATCATTTTGGGTATACCCCAAATTAGCCTTCCCTCCTGCATATTTACTCATTAAATTAAAAGATGCTTTTGGCATAATTCCAACATCTTCAGCAGCATTCAAAGCATAGGCTTGTGATTTTGGTAATTTCCTTTGTGATGCTAACATGTGAACTGTTTCTCTGGGTTCTAAAGGATGATTATGGTCCAAAAAAAGTTCACTAACTTTATATCTTCCATTCACTTTTTTAACTATCATTCTCACTTCACACATTGTTCTTGTTTCTTGCCAAGGCTTTCTAATTTTAAAATCTCTCTTGTCCGTCTTTCTAACTCCCTCTTTTGAACAAACATACTTGTAATAGTTAATAGAATTATCTTTCTTGCTTCTGTTAACATTTTGTTTTCTAACATCAAATCCTATTCTTCCACCATAGCGAACCCAATATTGGTGTGCCTCTTCTAGACTATCAAATTCAAGACCAAGTACAGGAGTTACGTCACTTGTATCCATCACTCAAAGCTACAACACATAAAAACATTAAATAGGGGCCCAGTGGTAACATTCCCTCTTCAGCCATCAAAATGGACTTTGCTAACTGCAAAACTAATTAACCTATAACCAACTGCTCTGAGACTCAGATATTTTCTTGGCTTTGACAGGAATAGGGGCCCAGTGGTGGGGAAGTTCCAAGCTCGATCACAAGTCAGTTACGGCACCTATATGTTTAATGTCCTTTTGCCTACTTTCTCAATTATGCGCTGTTGAATGGTTCTATATCATCGTTTTCCAGAAAGAAAAAAGGACCCCTAAGAGCTAGTCTCTAAGAAACCAACCCGAAAGTCCCCACTAGCTTACGTCGCAAGGCCTTGCATCTGGATTTTCTTAAACCCAACAAAACCAATTTGGATGCACTTAGTCACTTCATTATATAATCCAAAACCTTTTTTCATTTGAGTCCAATCGTGAAAAACTTTTCTTCATTGCTTCCAAGCCTGCATAACAACATGCTTGAATCATCGGTTGTCATCCCTTTATTAACTTACAATCCATGTTTGTAAAACAGGATTTTACATAACATAACCCTTCTCTTTTATTTTGGGTTTGGGACCGGCTATACTATATAGATGGAGTTCCTTTATTAACTTACGATATTGATAAATATTCTTTTCTTGTATCTGAAGGCTGGGATATAATGATGATTGCATAAGAAATACCAATATGAAAGAAATACTTTTTGTTACAACTCACATAGCTCAAGAGGCCATATTGTGAATTTTCAGAATTCGAACATTGCATTTATATTCTGAATCGTAACCACGAATGAAAACAAATTAATATTATTAATAAATCTTTTTCCAATCATAACAAGAACACCTGGCTAGAGTTCTGGACATTTAGGTCTTGATTCCATCGTCGGAAGGGAGGAATTGGCTGGGTTTCAAGACTTCTAGCTGAAATTAAATCTGATTCTCTAGAGAATTTAATTCATGTATCAAACATCTTCAACAAGGAATCGTTGTTCCATTCCATTCTGTGTGTCAAGATTCCGAAGTGCCAGATGGAGAGCCTTAGGACTTTGTTATTTTGTCGAATAGAATAAAAACCGAATAAAAAATGATTAGAATAACATTATAAAAACTAATGTCATGCATGGAAAATATCACTTGTCCCTTTAAATAATTACGATGAAATAGTATGGATAAGCGTACGTACAGTATAAATTGTAAATCTCAATTTTTGTGCGTAAAATGAGAATGCTCGTCTCTTGTAGGGTGTTGAAGAAAAAGAAGAAATGAAAACAGGGTACTAATTAACGAGGAAAGAATTCACTCATAGACACTTCAATGGTCGAGCCTGATTCCTTACTTCCACTGGTACGAGGCCCCATTCCACCGTGTAAAAAGAAGGCAGGTTCCTGTGGCAATGGCAGTTGAATGGAATCATTGCTAAGATATGAAACAACCGCAGCAATTGTAGGTCTTGCATCTGGATCTTCTTGAACACATAACAAACCAATCTGGATGCACTTGATCACTTCATTATATGATCCAAATTCTTTTATATTCGAATCTAATATATCCAGCAACTTTTCCTCCTTCCATTGCTTCCAGGCCTATGGCAATCAAGTAAAGCTAATTATCACCATTTTATAAAGTTATAGAATATTGTTCGAATAATCTTTTTATATATAGAAACATTTTCATAACTTACATAGCTCAATAGGCCATCAGCATGTTGTGATTGACTAAGACCACTTGCATTCTTCTTTCCACTGATAATTTCTAACATTATAACTCCAAAGCTAAAAGTATCTGATTTTTTAGAATATTGTCCGTACATTGCATATTCTGGAGACATATAACCACTAGAAAAAGAAATCAATAATAAAGTTTCTATGCAATACATAATAAGGACATTAGTTGAGATGTAAATTTTTCAGTCTCAACTTAGGAACACTTATTTTTCTTTATTCAATTCAACTATATCGAAATAGATGTAGAGCTTAAAGAGAAAAGATTTAGAACGAACTTACTATGTCCCAACTATTCTATTTGTACTTCCTTCATTTGTGTTGATAGCAACCATTTTGGCTAAGCCAAAATCTGATATTTTTGGATTCAGTTCATCATCTAATAAAATATTACTTGGTTTGAGATCACGATGTATAATTTTAAGACGAGAATATTCATGGAGATAAAGAATTCCCCGAGCAACTCCTCCAATGATTTTACATCGCTCAACCCAATTTAATACTTTGCCTTTTTGGGAACCTGGACATTAAGTTGTTGTGAGTGACTATATGTAGAGAGACAAAATAAAGGCAATCTAAGTATAGACAATTAACTCCAACATACATTAGATAGCATGAACTACAAATTTCAATAAGAGTTAAAGAAGGTATAGATTGTCAAACCAAATAGAAAGTAGTCGAGGCTTTTGTTCGGAACATATTCATAAACAAGGATTTTCTCTTGTTCTTCTATGCAAAATCCAAGCAAGGCCACCAAATTTCTGTGCTGTAGTTTGGCAATCAATACAACCTCGTTCTTGAATTCTTCTCCACCTTGACAAGAATTTTTTGAAAGTCTCTTGACGGCTATTTCTTGACCATTTGAAAGAACACCCTAGAACCATTGATGATTAGATTAAAAGTTAAGAAACATATATACAAGTGTGCGTGCGTGTCTATCTTTAACATTTATATCGATGACATGTGTTACCTTGTAAACTTGTCCAAATCCACCTTGGCCTAAACATTTTTCATGCGAAAACTTATTTGTTGCAGCTTCAATAGTGGCCAAACTAAATTGTAGAGGCTCTAAATTATTGCTTTCATTTCCAACTAGAGACACAGAAAATAGTAAAAGCATCGATACAAAAGCTCTCTGGACAAGTCAAATTTTATGAGTAAATAAAAATTTGTCCGAGAACGAAAATTGCTTACAGTATTTTTGTCTGAGAAGAGCGGTGCGTCTCTTCTTGATTAGACTCTTTGAGAGATAGTAGGCGACACACAAAAAAATCCCCAGACCACCAACAGAAGAAACCACAACTATCACAATAGTCCTTGTTGACTGACCTTTCGCTTTAACTGCAAAAAGTCAAAAACATCATATACTTCCACGTCTCAATGATGACATCATGTGATAATTTTTTTTTTTTTGCCTGACATCATGTGATAATTGACTGCATATCTGTATCCCGTAAGACCGGTGGATCATATTCTCATTCTGATTAGATCCAATTTTCCTCAGCTGTCATGTTATTTTTTTAAAATTTATTTTGATGCCAAAATCAGCATAATTCTTTTCTTTAATAGATTTACCCAAATGTGCATTTTAAAATAAAAATCAGAAAAGCGTTCAGCAAACAAAAAAAATGTTTTAACTAATAAGTTGAATTTTACCTTGAGGATCTGAAGAACTTGTTGGAGGAGAGAGTGCAGGCGGTGGAGGCGCCGTCGCTTCTGGCTGATCATCAGACTTATAAAAAGGATATAACTCATAGCGAACGTTGCAACTGGGATATAGAACTCTTCCTCCTTGTTTCCCCAAACAGCACCATGTTGAGAGGTCTCCGATCACAGCAGTCAGACAAGTTCTGCAATCTTGGGATGACAGGTCCTGCGTGCACTGAAGTAGAGAATACATAGTTCCGAACCCAGATATGCTTGCTTCCCTTGTGGCATATTTCTTAGTGCCGTTAGCTGCCTCGTCCGCCGTCACGTTAAGCGTGCTCAACAATATCTGTAAGAAGCTCAGCTGGGACACTTCGCCGGTGTTCAAGAGGCTCAGTCTAGGCCTTGTTTCGACGGTGAAGAAGAAGGAACGGTTCGAATAGCGAACCATGCACTCGTCGTACCAGATTATTGCCTCCTTCGAAACTCTGCACTCGGAAGATAATCGTTGGGTCGCGTTGACGACGCATTGGTGGCACATGGAGAGGTTGACGTCACCCCGGCACATGAAGAGGCCGTAGACGGTGTCGCCGCCACCGACGACGGTGGCGTTGGAGAAGTCGGTGTTGGCGGAAGCTAAGGAAGAGAAGAGTTTGGTTCGGTCCGATTGAAAAGCACTATTGACAGCGAAGGTTTTGTTGGAAGAGCAGTTGTGGTAAAGATAAGTGACCTGTACTTCAATTGTCGGAGAAAAGAGGCAGCTGATAAACAAGAGCAACAAAATTTTGTGGGAAGCCATGACCACGGGCGTCATGGTAAGGGTGAAGGATGTGTTAGCGGTGTTGGAATGAGGTATCAGCTATAGTTTGTGGAGTTCTTATTCAGTATATTTCAATTCAATGGCGAGTGGGGGAGAATCTTTGATCTCATGAGGGAGAGAAGATATTGCAGTGGCTGGCAAAGAAAGAGATGGTTGATGATGGGGAAGGTTGACTCAAGGCATTTAAATTTGTTTGCGGAGACTTTTCAATTTGTTGTTGGAATCCAATGAGATCGAAGAAGATCCAAAATCTCATATCGAACTCAAACGTTTACCAAAGCGAGGAAATACAATAGTAAAACATATCAAATATACAGAATTTGGGGGAAAACACTCAAGATGCAATGCAAAGGAGGAAATGAGGTGGGACGAAACGGAAGGCGGATCTAAAGAAGCTTGCGGATCGACGAAGAGAAGCTCGTCGACGCAAGTCAATGAAACTGGGGAGAGCAAGTCAAGATTTGCTTTTATTTATTGTTTCCCACCAACCTTTGCTTCCTTAGCTGTTCCATCGTTTCTGTAAAATTTTCCATTTCAGTTGAAAAATGAACCTCAAAACTCTTTTAAAGATTGGAAAAACCTACCGCGGTGGTGCACGGTTTCTCTCTAGAGACAGCAAAGTCATTTTACTCTGTAAACTTGTTTATTTGATGTCATTTTGTCTTGTTCCCAAAAAAAAAAAAACAAAGTCCTTTTACGCTATTTGTGCTTTAAGCTATTGAAAATAATTAAAATTTAAAGTTTGTATCTGACTTGATTGTTTAAATTTTAAAGATCTCGTTCCTTTAATTTTTTTAAGATATGCATTCAATAATTTATATTTACAGTCGCAACTGATTAACATATCATTATATCTGATCTTATCATTCCTGTGACTAAATACATAAATTTCTTTTTTTTTCCCGAGGTACTGATATTTTTTTATTAGAAATAATCTTATTTGAAATATTATCGAGTACTAAAATGTGCACACATCTACTAGAAGAGATTCAAAATTTGATTTATCACATTATGGGGATTAGCTCTTTTAGCTAAACTCAATCCCATTAGTGCATAAATTTCTAAATAAATAGATAAGCACCTTGTACAGACGAAATCTCTGATGCTCACATACGGACATACCCATAAGATCTGCCAGCGAATCAAATTAAATTGTGTGTTGTGATAATTATTGTATTAAAATAGATATTATTACAAAGGGTTTTAAATTTGTAAAAGTTAGATATTATTGTTTATGATGATAATTTCATGTCAGACATATTTGAGTAACCTCGTTAAATAAAATACTCTGTTAAGTTTTTCTCTATAATATAGTATAATAATTAAAATATACATCTGACGTGAGGCTTAGTGAGGGTGATATGTATTTTTAAAAAGAATAAGTGAGATTAATAATAATTATTACTGAGATATATAAATATTACATTACCTAGCCTTTTTTATCTTTAATTTTTGTTCTGAAGATGCAAGCATCTTCTTTGATGCATTTAATACTTTATGAAAAATGTTCACATATAACTGAATTAATTTAATTACAATAATTTTGACCATGTTTCATGCCCACAAGATACATAAAAAATACTACTCAAATTTTATATTTAAATGAAAAAAATTAGGGCTGATATTATTGTACAAAGGGGAGGTAGGCAAATAATCAAGATCAGCTAGGAATTTTCCTGATGATGCCGTATCTGTATAACGAATGAAGCTGGGGGCTAAAAAAGTACAGCATTATTTTTATTTTTCTTATTGATTTAATAATGTTGTTAAATTTATTATAATAATTATAAGTAAGTTTAATTTCATGCAACAAGAAGAGCAAGGAACTTTTGTAGAAAGCCCCGCGAATTAAATCACATATACTACTTCTAGTTTTTAATATAAAAGTTTGTTTGATCTTTATTTTGAATCTAAATGTAAGATCCCAATTTACTTCATCTTTCATATTTATCTATTTTTTTCAAGATAATTATTGCAGTAATGGTAGTTCTAGCTAATACACTTGCTTAGCAAAGGTATTCTAGAAAGAACAATACCTATTTATTATCAATAACTAACTTAATAAATTTTTTAATCTACTTAAATTAGTTAACTAGTTTTTATATTAAATACAGGAGATAGTATTATGAAAAACTGTCAGGGTTGGAAATAAGGCCCCAGCTTCTTCGAGACAAAAGTATAAGCGAGTTGGTTTCTATAGCCTTGATTTTTGAGAAACTCACATGTTTATATTGTTAGATTATGAAAAACTGTTTGGACCCAAAAAATCAAAGCATTATGAAAAAATAAAATTGGTTTTTGAAGAAAACATGAAAAAAGGGCCGTCAAAATTGTCTCGAGACGTGTTTGTACTGTGTGGACCAATAATATAGGTTGACTCGCTGCGGGTCACAATTTTAATAGGCTGGGCTCCAAAATCCACATCTTTATGGGGCGGATTCATGAGTTAGCCTGCCACCCCGTGTTTTTTAAATTCTTTTTTACATTTTCAAATATTTGTTTTGAAGTCTTTAAATTAAATTATGAACTTTAATTTAAATTTTTTTATCTAATAAAATTATATAATTAAATTAACCCCAAAACTTGTGAATATAAGCATATAATCTATTTTTTATAACTATTTTATTATAATATATAAATGATAAGTCAATAAAGAAAGAGAGAAATCAAATTTAGAATAACTTCTTAACAACAATCAAAGGCACATTTAAATTAAATAAAAATAATAAATTTATATTAAAATAAAAATATTATTTTAGATTTTTTTAAAAAAAAAAGTGAGCTAATTCATAGCAATTTAAGAGGTTAGCATGTGCAAGCTAAAAATATTTGTCTCAAAATTAGTTCATTTTGCCAATCCAACCCACTATTTTTAATGGATTGAGCTTGCGAACTCAATTTCTATATTTTCCACATTCCGTAGACTTTTTCAAATATCTATTGGAAAATAAATGTTCAAGATTTTTCGGACCGGAAAAATATTTAAGGATTAAAAAAGTACGCAGTGCGGAGACTCCGTTAAGAATGACTCCACTTTTAAAAGAGACTAGAGGTGGTGGAAATTAAAAGCATGTTAGCCGTGGAAAGTAATTATCAAAATAGAAGCGTGTTAGTTATGGAGATTATATTATTAAAAAGCAAGTTATACATAGTAGGGGAAATTATATGCTCTTATTTTCTTATTTATAAGATACTTTCAATATGTTTCACATAGACTAAGAAAAATCTTAAACTGCATTAACTGTGTATTAAAATATAACAACTTTTTATTTCGACCCCTATTTAATATATACACTTTTTTAAAAAATAATTATTTAACCTATAATAAATAAAAGACAAAATAGTATATTTATGTTATAAATTTAATAAAATAACTTATAAATAAAGTAAAAAAAAAACTTTCTCTTTCTATTTTATAAATAAGATCATAAAAATAATTAAAAGCGGGTTAGTTGTTGAAAAGGGGGATAAAGGGAAGGTTGCCTAAAGTGGCTCCCATGGGATCCTGACAATCATGAAATTTTGATTTGCTAGTTCATGAAATTGAGATGACCAGATCATCAAAGCTTCCTCTTACTTTGAAGAACGGGAATCACTGGGAAATTTACGTTTCGTGAAAGCCGGGTGGGGGACTCGAATGCCCCACTCCCCCTGTGCTCTTTATAATGACTCGTTTCTTTTAATTTGTTCCCTTTTAATAGCACAACTTTTTTTAATAATCCTCTAATTTTAAATATAAAACTTATATTACAAAATGAATTTTACATTTAGAATCAGATAAATAATTATTGATTAAAACAGACATTTGGTTTTTTAAGTTTACCTGAAATTTCAGTTTAACCCCTTAAGTTTAAGAAATATATTTTTAGTCTTTTAATATTATCATTGTTAATCTCATTTAATGAATAACGTTGACTTAATAAATTTAAATAGTGATATTGTGATCAATATTCACAGAACATGCTCTAAATTTTTTTTTTTAATATAATCATTTTTTATAGATGTTTAAAATTTTAAAATTTTATCAGATAGCTAATTCTTTAAATACTTAAAATTATTTTAAAATAAAAATAATCAGATAAGAAAATTAAAATTTAAAGTATGCCTTGTTAGTATTTAATTATAAGATTACCATTTAAATCTGCCAAGTTAGCAGTTCTGTTAAATGAAACTCATAGCATTAATGTTAGGGAACTTAAAAATATATTTGTAAATTTAAGGGATCAAACCAAAACTTGAAGAAAATTTTTAAAAACTAAACATATATCCCTACCAGTTAGTTCACTTGATTTACCGGAACCCGTGCAGAAGAAGCATTGGGCAGGAAGATGGATATGCCATTTCTGAAACTGCCATTCTGGTATCTCCTTCTCAACCACTTCAATCTGGCTTCTTCTCAAGTAGAAATCCCGGCTTACTATGACCACAACTGAACAATTAATAAAAGCTTCAGTTCTAATAGCTCCTACCAGTTCAACCCTAACATTCTTTTCGCTTCTCACAAACAGAATAGCCTCAGATTGTCCCTACAATAAAGAGGCAATCATCTGGTATGATCAGTGCTTCCTCCGCTGTTCGCATCTTTCTTTCTTCTCCACCCAACACCAACAGCCTACAGTTGACGGGATTATTACAACCAGCAGATGTAAATTATGCACAATTAGAAGTCCAGAAAAGTCAGACGATGTAAACCCAAACGCAGAATTAAATAAAATGTTGAATGAAGTAGTGGTGAAGGCAATTACACTATCAGGACCTGCGGGCACCAAGAAATTTGCAACCAAAGAAGCACACGTCAGTAGTTGGGGATCGGTGTGCACTCTTGTACAATGCACGCCGGATCTGTCTCAATGAGGTAGTGGATGTATAAAAATACCTTCTAATTTTATATCCTGTCATTAAATTTTCACTGGCAACAAAACTTATTGATGCCTCGATCGACAAATTATCGATGGGTCCATTAAATTTTCGATCTTTCCAAGGTTGACATTTTTAATTTCAAAAGATTACTCCTAACATTTTGCAAAATAACTTATCTTCTAGAATGTGGACTCCTTTTAAAATACTCCATAATTTGTATGAGGTAAGTATTGAACTATTGATGTCTTATAGTATTTGAGATTAAAAAAATATTTTATTTGTCGGTTCAGCAGACGATGATGACCGGATTCTCTTGGTCGAGCACAAAGAAGAAGATGAAGGATAACCCAAATCAAGATGCATTATGCTCTCACCCTTCTTTTCTTTCCGTGCCTGATCTTTATATCCACAATATTCCAGTTCTTAATTGTTACACGCATCCTAAAAACTGAGTTAAAATTTTTGGACCAAAAAAGAGAGTTAAAATTAGTTTTCTT